AGTTGTTCCTCTGCTGCCCCGCCAGCCACCCCCTCTGTCCTCCACTCAAACTTTTCCCTGTGGCACGCGCCCCACCCTCCCCCCAAGCCCACCCCTCTGCCCTGCTCCGAAGCCCCCCCTCCCTGGGCCGGGTTCCAGCCAGCCTGGCCCCCATGCCGTGAAGTGCCCGGAGAGGGAGGGCCGCACTGTGCAGATGGCCCCCCAGAGGCGCACTTGGCCAGAGGGGGAGGAGTGGTGGGGGTGGCGGGTCCTGCTCAGATGTGGCCTTTCCACTCCCCACCGAGGCCAAACTTCCAGACTGGGGCCAGGGGGGCACTGAGCTCGGCTTCTGCAAATGGCCCCCACACCCCCAGCAAGTGGAGGGGCCAGGGGCCAGATGCTGGGTCCGCTGGGTGGGGGGAGACCAGGGCCAGAGAGGCACGCAGCGGGGGGGAGACACAAGGTGAGGGGGGCGCCACAAGGCAGCCTCACCTGGGGGGGCGCTAGTTTTGCCTAGGGCACCGAAAAACCTCAGGCCAGCCCTGCGGATGTCTTGCTGTATTACAAGCCATGGATATTAACCACCCTTCTGTAGGAAATCCCAAAACCATTAGTGATTTAGAGATGTTGCAAGAGCAAAATTAAGTCTCTAGGTAGGTGGCTTCTAGAAAGTAGCTTCACTGAATTTCAAGTCAGTTCTATAGCAGCTCATCAGTCATGAAAAGGGGTTTCACAGCAGAAAGTAGGCCCAGAAATCCCTCCAATCCAGCAGCTGTTATACTCAGTAGAAGTTCTCCCAAAAGACAGTTTAATTTGGAGAAATGCTGCATACCTCCTCCAGCAAGCCAGACACTTTGGCCTACAAGTGTCATACAATCATGCTTACACTCAACTTTGCCTTGCATTACTTCCTCCGCTTTCCCCCCAGATATAGGTGCTCAGGGATGAATTACCTGTGAGTGGGGAATGTTTCACTTTGTGCCAGAAAATGGAACATCAGAAGATACCTCTTCTTACCAAAACCAGGATGGAGATTCTTGGCATGTCAGGTGAGAACACAACCAGGTGGGAGGAAGGGAGAAGCTCATCCACTACTCTGCTAGCCAACTGCTGCCATATAACCCAAGTGTCTGGATGGGGAGGTAAGCCCAAAGAGATCCCACTACTGATCAGCCTGCTCAGTCCAAAGGAAGCCAATAGAAGTAATTTTTAAGGCAACAATTATTAGTTTTCCACAAGTCCCCAACCCTGGGCAAAGACAAAAGTAGAAGTGTTAAGACTGCAAAATTTTAGTTTCTCAAGAACAGAGCAAAGTTATATCACCACTCACAATGCCACCCCTACATATCAACCCCACCAGTCTCCATCTTCCTTCCATCCAGAGATCCCCCTCCCAGAGATCCTGCCAGCTGTGAGTATATCAACCCCCCAGTCTCCATCTTCCTTCCATCCAGACCCCCTCCCAGAGATCCTGCCAGCTGTGAGGCTCCATCGCTGTTGCTCACACCACAAACTTGTTCTTCATGAGGGAACCGCTTTTGGTGGCTGTGTCTGCATGAGCCTGATAACCAATTGCCACTTTTGAAGACAGGCCCAGGTGCTCCTTGTACACACGCCTGCAAATAAACAACATTCTGTTGCAATCAGCCTACAACACCATGAGCCCTCCCGGAACCCCTCCCAGTGAAGCAAAACTTTTTTTTTAATTTAAAGGAATTCCATTCTTTATGCCAACCACTCACTCACATTTCAAGCCCCTATGTTACATTTGATCATAGGGATATATTCCATGTTATGAGGGTAGCTGGCATTAGCTCCCCTAAGTCACTGAGCAGCACTAAATAGAGAACAGAGGAGTGGGAACAGCCTTTTACCCAATATGGGTGACTCCATCTCGGTTCTCTGCCTCCTGGGTCCAGATTGCAATCTTGTCCCCCTTGGCACGGATGTTGATGACAGCCCCACAGACATCATCACTGTAGTCATCAAACATCTCTCCAATCAGACACAGCAGCTACAGGAGTAAAACAAAGACAGGGATTACAGGGAACCACAGAACGCAGTATATGCAGGTGACATGGGCAAAACATCTGGCCTTATAAAGGCTCTTTAAGCAGCTTGCCCTGCCCAAAGGGAAACAAACAAAACACCCTTTGGAAAAGAGGGGTTGGTTGCTTCATTTGGAAGGGGAATAGCATACAAGAAGGGAAGAACTGCCTGGGCAGAAGGATCCCACATAGCCTTTCTTTCTCCCGTTACCAAGCTGTCAGGTGGTACAAGACACCTTACCCCTCGTGAACTACCACTGCCTTGGGAAAGAACTACCAAGGGGAGGGGACTAGGAGGGGAGCTCTTCCATCTGCCCAAAAGAGAAAGAATGAGGCTTAAACCCAGCACAGAAACCAGTGATGACCTGTGTGCACACACGCAGCTTACTTACCGTCTCCAACCAGAAATGGTCAAGCTCTGTATGCCGCTGCTGCTTGGCCAGTGCAATAAGCCAACGGCCACCCCGCTTGTTCCGGTTATCTTCCCACATAGGCTCAATGCCATCCTGCCAGGAAAGCGACAAGGAGTCCTTACTATGTCAATGCATGCAACTCACACATACGTCACAGCCTCCACATCTGCTAAAGTTCTGAGGCATTCTTATTCCATCATAACGCATCAGACTTCCAACAGGCCATGCGTAGGACCATGACGTATGGCAAGGCTCAGTCAATAAGAAAAACAGAGCCGCAGGACTGCAGATTGAACAAGCCTTCTCCGCTCAGCATACCCACAGGAGACTTGCACAGTGCCATGCGATGCCAACTTGGAGATGCCTTACCTTGAAAAGGGAGTAGTCACAGCCTGAGGTCAGCTTGCTGGCCAGCTGGATATGACTGTACAGCCTGCAGTCTCATGGAGAAAGAGATAAGACACAGTATGAGGAAAAATGCATAGTGTATTACCCCGCCACCCCCATGGAGATAGGTACCTTATAAAAGATAGCAGGAACATTTCTGTTATGTATTAGGGCTGGAATATTCCAGGACTGGGTAACAGAGACTGGCTGAGCTTGGAGCTCTAGAACAATAGCCCACCAGGACTCTGGAGGTGACCAATGAGAAACTAATGTTATGTAAACAGTGTATTGTTGAGAGTTGGGTGTGTTTGGGTGTGGTTTTTGCATGCGATTTAAACAGGGCTGTTGCCCTGAGGTTTCAGTCCTGTTCCTGAAATCACTAATAAAGCAGAGCTGATCACTATGCTTGGGGTCAGACCATCCATGGAACCCAGTATTTAACAATTTCTAAAGTAGCAATGCAACCTGGAAATATCCTTAAGAGCCATTCCACATAAGAAGTACACTGCAGGGAACTGTGGCCCATTGGGAGTTCCCTACAGCATGCACACGTGTCTAGTTTGTTTTAAAATATACTGTGTGTTTCACTTTTAGTATATATGTGCACAAGTACATGCAAGTGTACAGAGCAGCTCTGAAGTGGAAGTGTTTGTCAGACTCAGATATTCTGTTTTCCCTTCCAGCTAGGATGAAAGCCAGTTTGATGCAGTGGTTAGGAGCACGGACTCTAATCTGGAGAACCAGGCTTAATTCTGCACTCCTGCACATGCAGCCAGCTGGGTGACTTTGGGTCAGTTACAGTTATCTCAGAGCTGTTCTCTTACAAGCAATTCTTGCAGAGCTCTCTGAGCCCCATCTACCTCACAGGGTGTCTGTTGTGGGGAGAGGAAGGGAAAGGAGATTGTAAGACACACTGACTCCTTCGGGTAGTGAAGGGCGGGGTATAAATCCAATCTCCTCTTCTTTTAAATTGCTCTTTTTGCCATCATAGAAATGTTTAATGGTACCTACTTGGGTTGGACCCAAGTGGTACTTACATAGCAAATTTATGCTGATGACTGCCTTGGGTCCCCACTGGGGAGAAAGGCAGGGTATAAAGAATTCAGTGAATTATAACAGCTTAACCTACATGCCTTTTCCCGAAGGATTGACAACTGCGGTTTAGCTAGGTTACAAAGAATTCTGAGGGATGTTTGGTCTCTCTGCCAGGGCTACAATCCTCAGACTTCCCTGGATGAAGAGAATGAACATTAAGCTACTCAGAGTCTGAAGTGTGGGTCAGCCCAAACAGTATTTTAGGTGGGTGTCAGCATTCTGTTTCTGAACGCTTCTTTTATACACTTGATTGTTGCTGGAGCTCTTATGTATCCAAAGAGTTTGCATGCAGGCCTGTTGGTGTCAGATTCTATAGTATTGTGTGCATGGTGGAGGTGGAGGTGAAGGAGACACCTATACCAACTACTGCAAAGTAACTCCTTTACTCACGGTCAGTGATTAAAAACGGTTGGAAGCATGATGTTGACAATACCCTTATCGGAGCATTTCTGAGACTGACAATCTAGGAATATTTAATACTCTCATGTCTTTCTTCTCACTAATGTAGGTATGCTGCCGTTTTCACTGGACTCGCCACCAGACAGACACCCCTTCCCCCCTGCTGAATTTGTGGTTGTCAGGTTCAGGAATCCTAACGGGTAAGAAGAAAGAGTGAAATCCACTCACGCCCAAAAGTCTTCCACAGTGTCAAACTTGGTGACAAGTCGCAAGTTCTCCTGCCATGTCTTGCTCTTGTCGTTTTTGAAGAACCACAAGACCCACCTGTGGAGGTCAGCAGAAGGCACCATTGAATACCAGCGACAAGCACACATTCCAAACAGGCACTCAAGCTAGGTGCAACCATACCTTGGCTCAACATGCCAGGAGTCAATGCATTGCCTTTCCTAAGCAGTGGCAAGGGAGTGCTGCTGATCCATACTCAGTTCTTTATAGCATGTCTGTTCACAAACGAATAAAGGTGAACTTGCAGGAAGTGCATGGCCAATTTTATGCACCCATCATAATCCAGTGTCTTCTCTACAGCTCCTCCCCTTGTGTGGAGAGGGGATGAGAGAAGGTGAGGTTTCCAGGAATATTCTCCATCAGGCACAAGTCACATAGGGATGTTTCTCATGCCCGAAAGGCAAGATTGGTTAAAATGAACGTAAGGTCTATACAGCCAGTATGGTGTAGTGGTGGTGAGAGTGTCCGACTAGGTTCAAACCCCCTCTCTGTCATGGAAGCTCACTTGAGTGACCTCGTGCCAGTCACACACATCCAGACCAACCTACTTCACGAGAGCAGAAAAGAGCAAGAGTCCAGTAGCACTTGAAAGGCTAACAGAACTTGTGACAGGGTATGAGCTTGTCACTGCCCACTTCTTTAGACATAGTGAGCAGCGACTCACGAAAGCTCATACCCTGCCACAAATTTTCTTAAGTCTTTAAGGTGCTACTCTTGCTCTTTTCTCCTGCTACCGTCAGAAAAACATGGCTACCCATCTTGAGCTGCTCCACAAGGTTTGAGGGTTTGGGGTTTTTTTATTTTATTTTTTTGCGAATAAAACAGAGATCAGGACAATGTAAACTCATTTGTGTCCCCAGTGGGGGGGGGGAAGGTGGGGTATAAATGAAGGAAATAAATACGCAGCCAGTTGAAGGTATTTAATCCCCTCAAGAAAGGTACACAGGCTGCCCCTGCCATGCCACTGGCAGTCGGGATCAATGGTCCCTCTACGCCATGGAGTCTTGTGAGCAACAAAATCTACTTTGTGAGCTACTGGCATTCAAGTTGTGAGGGAGCGATCTGGCTACTGCATCAATTACTTTGCTCTGGAGCCCTCCTCCCTGCGCTAAGACAAAAATGTGTGAGCCGGAGGCTAAAAAACTGTGAGCTAGCTCACACTAACTCAGCTTAGAGGGAACACTGATCGGGATCAAGTATAGCTCCAGTGGAGCCAGCAGTGTTGCAGGGGCTCACTCAGACCTAACCAAGGCAACAGTGGCCATTTCCACACAGGTTTTTTGCTTAGGGCTCAGTGCTGTGGGTAAGCTCCTCCCCACTTCCTCACAGCATCATGGTACATGTCTGTACCTCCTGGGGTTTCCTTAGCTTTTCTCCAATCTTTCCCAAACCTGCTTTGGTGCAAAGTTTTTGGGAATGATCACAGCAAAGCCTGAACAGGTGCCCTGTAGGATCTGCTCTGTGGCTCAGTGGCAGAGCATCTGCTTTGCATGCAGTAGGTCCCAAGTTCAGTCCCCGGCATCTCCAGTTAAAAAAGGAACAAGCAGTAGGTGATAAGACCTCTGCCTGAGACACCGGAGAGGAGCTGCCAGTCTAAGTAGATAATACTGACTTTGATGGATCAAGGGTCTGATTCAGTATAAGGCAACTTCATGTGTTCCCTGTCCCACACACAACATATTGCCTTAGTGAAATAGGCTAGAGACTTTTAAAAGTGATTGCTGGAAATTCACAGATTGTTATCACATGTTGATGTTGCAACATCTAGTTGCTGCTTTTTGAAACAACTGTTAAAAGCGCCGGAGTGTGGGGGGGATTAGCTGCTGCCAGGGGACTGGGGCAGGAACGCTGTGGGGAAATCAGCCACGTGGAAGCCCTGTGGCCACTGCACTGTATTTGCACCAGCAGCACGGAAATTACATAGACCAGTCTCCATGTGGAATGGAACAATGATTGGTGTAGACCATTACCCACTTCCCCCTCTGTACTGCCAGCCATTGGGAGAAAGCCAAGCTTCCGCAGTGTAGCCCTGGCCTCCTCCCTAAGCAGCTTCTAGGGTAGAGAACTGGCCCCGAGGAAGTCTCATCCCACTAGTTAGATGGCAGAGCAAGAGCATTATACTGGTAAAGAGGTAAAGGAAAATGTTACCATCATTCCTTTTGGAAACAATTCTACGCAACACATCTAGGGGATCCTCAGGATGATTTCAGGTGGGATATGCCTATACTGGTAAAAGAGGTAAAGGAAAATGTTACCATCATGTTTGAAGACCTAACCCTTTTGGAAACAATTCTACGCAACACATCTGGGATTTGTACTAGTGTCAGGATTTCTTTTCCACAGCAGAGGTCATTCAAGAGGTATACAGTGGCATGTCAAGCATTTCTTGAAAGCAAGCGAAGAGTTTCTTGGCAACATATATCTGCTGAGTCACACACTCTTCTCTGGTCACATTTGGAAGCATATAATCAGAACACTTCAGGTTAGCAAGAAAAATGGCCATTAAACCAGGAAAATTAAGAATGCAAAATTGCATTGGGGAGGGCTATAAAATCAGTCTGATTCTCAAAGTGGCAAATCCTGTAGATACTTAAATTCACGGACTGGAGGCTTGAATATACAAGACAAATCTTTCCACAAAGCTGAAAAAGGCCCAAGTCTACCCAAAAAAACCCAAAAAAACCCACCTTGAAAGTTTAAGAAAAAAGCCTGGCAGTTCACCCCTCTACAGAATAGAAGCAGCGCCTGTAGCTTTAAGAAACAACTGTTCTCAGTGGCCTTTGTTGGGCAACCATGCCTATCTACAAGCCTTGATTTCTGTCAGTGGAAGGCAAGGGGTGGGGGCAGGGCCCTTTCCTGTGCTCTTTTGGCCTTTGAGGGAAGACCCATCGCGGTAGGCCTAGCTACCAGGCAACTTGCAGGACTCACCAGGCCTGGCTGCTTGCTAATGTTCAACAGTCGCCACCCGCAAAAGCCAATGTTGTGCAGTGGTTAGAGTTCAAGAACAGGATCCAGGTGTGAATTCTCAGTCTGCCATGAGAGCTCACTGGGTGACTTTGGGCCAGTCATGTGTTCTTAGCCTAACCTACCTAACAGAGGAGAGGAGAACTGCGTGAACTGCTTTGGGATTGTGGAGAAAGGCAGAGTATAAATGAAGTAAATAAAGAGTAAACATACCTGAAGATGGGGAAGCAGATAAAAGGTAGCTTGATTGGTGGGCAAGAAGGAGAGAAGGAAGCAGAGAAAGATGATATGGGGGTTGCCAGGAGGAAGGAAAGAGGAAATAGTGTGGGGAGGAAGAAGCAAGGGAAATCAAGGTGCCCCTGCAAGCCCTTGTGGTGCCCCACTGTGCAACTGGCCTCAGCAGCTGCGGCTACACAATCAGGCCATAGTCTTCCCATGTAGAGGCTGCAAGGAGAAGGGATGGGGTGAAAGCTAAAGATGGGGGGCAGACAGTGGTAGGTTGGCTGGTGGATGGGAAGAAGGAGAGAAGAGAAGACGAAGAGATTGGATTTATATCCCTCCCTTCACTACCCGAAGGGGTCTCAGAGCAGCTTACAGTCTCCTTCCCCTTCCCGTCCCCACAACAGACACCCTATGGGGTAGGTGGGGCTGAGAGAGCTCTCCCGAGAACTGGTCTTGAGAGAACAGCTCTGAGAGGACAGTGACTGACCCAAGGTCACGCCAGCAGCTGCATGTGGAGGAGTGGGGAATCAAACCCGGTTCTCCCAGATTAGAGTCCACGCTCCTAACCACTACACCAAACTGGGGGGTGGGAGAGGGCAAATAAAAGGCAGGTTGGTGGGTGAGAGTGAGAGAAGGAAGCAGGGGAAGGTATGGGCACTGCCAGGAGGAAATAGTGTGAGGAGGGCGGTACAAGGGAAAGGGAGATACTGCCTGTGAATCCTTTTGGGTTCCCCATTGTGAACTGGGCCTGGTGGCCTGCATTGTACAATCCAGCCATAGTTTTCCTGGATAAGGGCTGCCAGGGAGAGTGAGTAGGAAAGCTGATGATGGGGTGGGAGGGGCAGAGAAAGGTAGATGGGGGGGAGCAGAAAGCTGGGATAGACTATGG